AGAGAGAGAGAGAGAGAGAGAGAGAGAGAGAGAGAGAGAGAGAGAGAGAGAGAGAGAGAGCTCTCAGCTGCTGCTCTGACAACCTGCTACCATGCCTTTTCTCTGCCATCATGAACTGAAACTGTAAGCGTAATTAAATGCTTTCTTTCCTAAGTTGCTCTGATCATGGTGTTTTGTCACAGTAATAGAAGAGTAACTAAGACAGGTCTCATGTAGCCTAAGCTAGCCTCAAACCTGCTCTGGAGCTAAGGATGGCCTCCAGCTGATCCTTCTGCCGCTATCTCTCAAGTGCTGGGATTACAGTGGTGAATCGGTATACTCCAGCACTAAAAGATGATTCTGTGGGTCAGGGATTAAGACCACTCGCTGCCCTTGCAAAGAGGTCCTGTGTTTGGTTCCCAGCACCCATGCCAGGAGACTTACGAACCACCTGTCACTCTGGGTCCAGGGAATCGGATGACCTCTTCTGGCCTCCCAGGGTACCTCCTCACCTCATGCATATAATTAATAAATAATAAATCTTAATTACTAAGATTTATTATTAATTATAAAGGGAGAGAGAGAATATGAATGTTCAGTAAAATGGGCATTGGAGCACTGCCTTCAACTATAAGCCCATAGATGAATGGCAAGTAGAAACACTTTTATGGCTGAAGACATATGTGGAAACTGTCTCCCACATAGCTACCTATATTCAATTTACAGAGCTGCACTTGGCTCTAAAATACTGCCTCTAAACCTATGGTGTTCATCAGGTCCCCTGCAGGCTTTTTAAACATGATAGGTTTGAGGGAGGGTCAAACCCACAGATATTCCAGCTCATTTTGGGTGGGATTCCGACATTATTTTTTGTCCTTCATTTTCATTTTTTTTTTGAAGGTTCCCTGGTTGATTCGTGGTTTAAGCCTTGCTGAGAACTGTCATGCTAAGACAGATGAGAAGCGCTCCTCTTATAGAATGAGAATCGTAGTGTTTGCTTTTGTCAGGGGAATTAGCCAGGCAAAGGTAGGAACCAGCAGCCTTGCAGATCCCTGGAATGTGTTCGGAACTGTCAGAGGCCTATAAAACCCAGATGAGGGCAGCTGTGTCAGAGACCGGGAAGTGAGCTGGGCACGGGAGGGCAAGGCTAAGGCTGGAGTTGTGCCTGTGCTTCAGTAGAGTGCCCAGACTGCAGAAACCCACGGGTTTTTGTCTTTGAATGGATGAACAAGTGAGAAAAAAGCTTCCGTAGTTGAGAAAACAGCTTCCCAAGCTTGAAGCCAACCCTTTCATGATTTTCCTCTCGTTTAATCATGGAGACTTTAGCTCTCCGTGGGAAAGGAACTTAAACACACACCTAAGCTTTAAAACTCGTTTTAATTAGCCCTGGAATCAGATAAAAAGAAAAAAAAAACAGCACATAGGGAGCCCCTGTCTATCAAACTAACACTGAGCTGCTGGAGTTGGAGAGGAATTTTATGGGGGATTTAGGAGTACAGACTGAGACCCCCAGGTTCTAGGATGGCATGATTTATAATCAGAAAGTCCACCAAGGTGGTCCATGAGTGGATTTCTTGAAAGCCCATGAAAACATCCTGGAAGGAGATGTTTGTGTACCTATTTGTGTACACATACATTCTATAATACAGAAAGTCTGTGTTTTTATAGATTTTCCTAGGGAGCCCAACTAACTGAGACAACTCTTTACTTTCAACCAATTTGTTCCTTCATTCTCTCTCTCTCTCTGTCTCTCTCTCTGTGTCTGTGTCTGTGTCTCTGTCTCTCTGTCTCTGTCTCTCTCTGTCTCTCTGTCTCTCTGTCTCTCTGTCTCTGTCTCTCTGTCTGTCTCTGTCTCTGTCTCTGTCTCTGTCTCTGTCTCTCTCTCTCTCTCTCTCTCTCTAGCATCTCACTATGTAGTCCTGGTGGCCTAGAACTCACAGAGATCCACCTGCCCCAGCCTCCTGAGTGCTGGGATTAAAGGTGTGTGCCTCCATGCCCAGCTGAGAAATCCAAGTTTTTGAAGTTTCAAAGCCTATTCTACAACAGTGGTTCTCAACCTTCCTAATGCTGCCACCTTTTAATACAGTTCCTCATGCTGTGGTGAGCCCCAATCATAAAATTATTTTTACTCCTACTTCATAACTGTAATTTTGCTAGATATGAATCATAATGTAAATCTCTGTGTTTTCTGGTGGTCTTCGGCACCCCTGTGAAAGGGTCCTTGGACCCACAAGGGGGTCGCAACCCACAGGTTGAGAATCACTGCTTTATCAAGTCACAACTGTAGTCCAGTGGAATATTAAGTTGGCAGAAACATCACTTGGGAGCAAAAAGGTGACCTGAACTAACACGGAAGTGTTGGTGTCGGTAGTCATGTACATCGATGTTTAAAGGAATGAGGGTTGGCTGTGGTGGGTCCGGTAAACCCAGCACTGGAGGCTGAGCAGGGGGATCATGAGTTTCATTCAGGCCAGCCTAGGGAACTTAGGGACGCTCTGTCTCAAAAAGTACAAATGAATAAGACAGAATCCGGGGCTGAAGAGGTAACTCAGCACAATATCATGTCGAGACCCTGAGTTCAATCCCCAGGATGGGGGTTTGGGGGTCAACACATTTAATTGAGGGGGGTGCTGTAGGACCCGATGGGAGTACTGTACAACATGCAGAATATGCACTACAGAAGCAGCTTTCTGAATTCCTCACATTTCTAGAACTCAGGGCCCACATCTGATCCCCACGTGGTTTGCATGGGGGTCACGGGACCTTAACACAGCCTTTCTTTACTGGTTCTGCCTCCAGCACGGAACATTCAGGTCTTGCTGCACTTATATAAAGTGTTTCCAATCAAGTCCAGCTTACAGGAAACCTCCTCAGGGCCTCTGTCAATTCTAGCTACTGCTCAGTCAAACTTAACAAAAAAAAAAAAATCACCGGTAGACACGTAGTTTTATTTGCATAAAATATACACGAAACTGATCACCCCACTCATTCAGAGCGTGAGTATTTTTTCTAATACTTAGCTACATCCCCAGCCCTCAGCATCAATGTTTCAAATATATATATATATATATATTACCTTCCCCCAAAAGGCAAACATAGCCACCATCCTATAAGAATGGTCCCAGGAAGGATGTGTTACAGATCTGTCTTTTCTGACCCTGCTACAGACAGAAAATGAACAGTTTCTTTTGGCTTTCTTTCTGTTTTTTCTTTGCAGTTTTGGAGGTGATGGCCTGAAGGAGCTCCAACTTCAACATGTTTTCCAGTAGTTTCCTCAAGCCAATAATAAGCATTCCCACCCACCAGGAGTACCCACCCTCCATCATTGATAGCTCCTGGCAGGCTCTCAGGCAGACACAATTAAAATGTTCACCTATGGTGAGCTGTGGTGGCTGCCCCTGAACAGGGAGGCACCAGAAGGGACAGTTTCCCAGATGGATGAGTTAGTCTGGGGCCGTGTTCTGCTGTTGAGTGCCATCAACAGACTAGAGGAAGATAATGAAGAGTCATGGTAAATTAGCCCAACTGAAGGCAGAGTGTGGAGGTCAGGACCTCCTGGAAGGCTTGGGTAGAGGCTCATCTCCTGCATCTAGAGAGCAGAAAGAGCTAACCATCTAGCCCCAGACAAAGTTACCCAGAAGCAGAGCTCCTGAAGGCCTGAGTATCAACCAGACAGGCCTGCTATGCTAAAGTCAGGGTACTGATTAGAGAGAAATGGGACCTCAAGA